GAGTAGGTTTGTAGTGTCTTTTGTTACGTGTGTGTAAAAATTTGAGGTCATCCGGATGTGGTTTGGTAGGTTTCGACATCGTTTGCGGAAACTTGGAAGTTTAGAAGTTCTTAGGCTTGAATTCGAGGGTAATTTTGTGTTTTGATGTTGTTTTGAGTGATTCCAAGGTTCGACAGAGTTCGTATGAGGTTATATGACTTGTTGGCATGTTTGGTTGAGGTCCCGAGGGCCTCGGGTGTGTTTCGGGTGGTTAACAGATCAAGTTTGAAGTTTGGAGAAGTGCTGAAGTTGGCCTGTTGCTGGTGTGGTGGGATTGACGTAGGTGTGGAAGTGTGTTGGATTGGGGAAAACTGCAGGTGCGAGTGGGCGTGCGCATCTGCGAGCCCGCATGAGCAGGTAGTTGCCCGCAGAAGCGGAAGAGAGGAGGTCTGGCAGTGGCCGCAGGTGCGAGGTCGCAGAAGCGGATATGGAGCGCATGTGTGGAGATGGGGATTTAAGTAAATTTCCGTAGATGCAGAGATTTTTGCGCAAAAGCGGCACCGCAGGTGCACATTTTGAGCTGCATGTGCGAAAATCCAGGGCAGAACCTATAAATAGAAGACTTCGCAAATTTTTGCTCATTTCAACCATTTTCAAGTCGGACCTTGGAGCTTTTGGAGTGATTTTTGAAGGGGATTCAAGGGTTTTCACAGAGGTAAGTTGCTTGATCCCTAATACTCCTAGCTATGGTGTTTTCCCGTTGTTTTCTCATCTAATTAGTGGGATTTAGGAGTGAAAATAGGGGGTTAGGACTTGGGATATTTGGAGAGTGTGATTTGAGGATTTGAGGGACCAAATGATGTCGGAGTTTGGTAAATTTGGTATGACTATACTCGTGAGTGAATGAGCTTTCGGGTTTTGTGATTTTTGTTGGATTCCGAGACGTGGGCCCGGGGGGCCGGGTTTGAGTCGATTTCGGATTTTGGCTATAATTTGGTATTTTTCTTGCGGAATTAATTCCTTTAGCGTATATTGATCGTATTGTATTACTTGTGGCTAGATTCGGGACGTTCGGAGGCCGAATTGAGAGGCAAGGGCATTCCGGAGTAGGATTTTGCTTGGTTTGAGGTAAGTAACATTTTTCAAACTTGGTTCTGAGGGTTCGAGACCCCAAATTGAATGCTATGTGATTGGTATTGAGGTGACGCATATGCCAAGTGACGGGCGTGCGGGCGTGCACCGTGAGAATTGTGACCTGGGTGATTCCATGGCACCGTTTAGTGACTCTATCCTGTCGATATCCATGTTTTCATCATGTGATAAAGTAGTTGAGCTGTAAATCATCATAGATATCATGTTTAGGCTTTGTGACCAGTATTGTTTGGACCCTTAGCGATCATTTCTTGTTGTCATCTCACTAGTTCAGTTACTATTCCATACTTAGTCATGATCATGCATTTTTATATCATATCTCGGTCTCAGTTATTTATTGATTCATCATATCATTGTTCCAGGTTGTTTTCATGACATTGTGAGCCCGTGGTGAGACTGGAGAGATTGATGACCGAGTGAGGCCGGGTGCCTGGTTATGGGTGACAGTTATGGGATCGGGCTGCACGCTGCAGTGGTTATATTGATGATTATGATAGCGCTTGGGCTGTAGGAGCCCCTCTGGAGTCTGTAACACACCCCCAGTGAGCGCGGATGATATTATTGGTGGATAGATTTTCCTGGACATGGATTTGTCCGAAGTACTTGATACCTGGAGATGGATTTATCCACAGGGTTGGATTACCCTTTTTCCTCGGTACTGGTGACTTATAGTCAGTGTTGTATATGTTTCGGGATGGATGTCCTTGGGCCGGATGGCCATATACAGTACCGAGTGTTTGAATTCTTGAGAGTGGAGCACATGGTTCATTTCATACAGTCTGTGCATTGCCATGTAGATATAGTTGAGTTGTATACCTTACACTGTTCAGATCTGTATTTCCTTACTGTTTGAGTTGTATATTTGACGTGAAAGCATGCCTACGTTTCTGCACATTTATTTCTGTTACACCTGTTGAGGTTGAGTTCGTCACTACCTTTCAGTTCAAAGTTTGGACTTGTTACTTACTGAGTTGGTGTACTAACGTTACTCCCTGCACCTCGTGTGAAGATCCAGGCGATACCGGTCGTAGCGGCGGTTGCTGATTGAGGATCCTAGAGTTTTGGAGACTATCAAGGTAGCTGCACTGCATTCGCGGGCCTTGACTCTCCTTCTTTATCTTTGTCGTACTTTCAGTTTATATCTTTAGACACTGTAGTAGACCGTACTTCTGATCTAGATGTTCATATACTCAGTGACACCCTGGTTTTGGGCTGGATTGTATCGCTTTGGGATTTTCATATGTTTTAAACAGTTTTTCTTAAATGTTAAATGCTTCAAACTTATTGTTGTTGGTGTTGGTTTGTTGAGTTGAGGCTGGCCTAGTTCCACGATAGGTGCCATCACGACGGTTGATATTGCGTTGTGACAATATCGAATATGACTGTAAAAAAGGAATGAAATACAAACCAAATTGAGTAGAGAATGATTTATAAATGAGCAAGATGAATCAATGTCCAAATCCCAAAAAAGGATAATCTCTACTATATATCTGTGTAAATATCAATAATATTTGAAATGTGAGAGTGTATTGATGTCAGAATCTTCAATGCCCTTAGCAAAAATGATAGCCACACTTCATATAGTGGAGGAATTCTAATTTGGATATAATTAAAAATACATAGTGGGGATCCCATGGTAGATTAGTTAATTAGCTTTTCCTTAATTTCCAACGAGATTCTCTACCCTAGTGCGGCTACAACGGCTCTTTGTCTCTTAGCTCGATCTTGGTCGGTCTTGATATTGGTCGATCTTTGGATCTCGAGCTTGATATTGACTCGAGCTCGATATTAACTCGAGCTCGGTATTGATCGGTCTCTGGCTCTTGGGCTCGATAACACCACTTCACATCATAGCTCGATATTGCCTCGAGCTCGGCATTGATCAGTCTGGATCTCGAGCTCGATAACCCGGTTTCCATCATATATCGATATTATAATGACGACTCTCGGTCCATTATGTTCCAATAATGACTAATTATACGAAGGGCAAACTCGATTTTGATTGTATACAGATAGTTCCCTCGTTTCTCGAAAAGAATGTGGCGAGAAACGATATGATTTTTCAACCTCTGACTAGATACACACTGACGTCTGCGTCGAGACCGATTATGACGTATGTGACAAATGTCCCGTTGGTTGAGTTACCAAGACATTAAATGTGCGTTAGACGATGGTCGGCCACTGCTGATTTTGAACCGTCATTGCCAAACCTATAAATAGCCCCCTTTCTCCATTCTTTTAAACTTTTACCTTCAACTCTTCTCATTCCAACCTTCACAGTTCTTCGCCTTCTTCAAAGTTCTCTTTTTCCAGCTTTAAGAATTTCTTTGCTTGTTCTTCGTCAGACACCAAAATATTCCAATTTCCTATCTTCTTTGTTCTTGAAAATTTAGATGGCCAAGATATCTAAAACCGTTCCTCAGAAATAGGCTGCTTCCTCATCTCGGCCGGCCGATAATAAAATGGTGGTGGAGCCACGCCTCAAAGAATTCATTCCCGGGGGATGTGTTATCGATTCTGACTTTAAGGTCGAGAAACCTTCGTCGGTTACTGGTCGATGTGAGCTAGTATCGAGATATATATGCTCGATACCTCAAAGCCTTATTGATTTGGTGAAGAAAGATTGTGGTTGGGAAAACAAAGAGGTTGTGATACCGGCACCAGAGGAAGCGATCACTACCCACGTGGAAGGGTACTTGAGTGTTTACACTTATCCTTTCACGCTGGGTCCCCTCGATTCGATCATCATCGACTTCTGCAAAAAGTACCAAGTAACCCCCGGCCAAATACATCCTTCTTTCTGGAGGATTGTAATACTACTCCGTTTCTTTATGAGAAAAATCGACGGGCTTCCCTTCACCCTCGACCATCTCATAAGATTATATAGCCCTCGTCTTTACCGAGGTGGGCTGATAAAGCTTCAACACCGGGCCACCAAGGCATTCACCTCGAGCATAGATGAAGACAAAGATCGGGGTTGGATGAGCCGATTTGTTCGAGTGAAGACCTCAGACTTAATCCCGGCTGAGAGTATGCCATTTCCCTAGAAATGGAATATGAACTGTAAGTGTGATACCATTTTTAGCTTTTGTTGTTTTTACTTCTTCATCTTTACTTATCAGTGCTTTTCTTGACACAACCATTGCTTGGATGCCGGGAGCGGTTCCCCATCTCGAGAACTAGGTAAGGAGCTTGGTTTCGATGTTGACATATGTCGAGCGTGCATGGTGCGATTTGTCAAAGGGCCGGTGGGAGGCTCGTACTCATGGTAAACCTTCTTTTTGGCTCAGCGATTTGCTTATTGTTCAAGTATTTTTTTAGTCATAAGTTTTACTTTCTTTTCTTTCTTTGTAGGTCTCGGAAAAGATGCGGTTACGAGACCCCCATCAGGTGATGAAGAAGTTTTACTGCCTTCCTCAAAACTGGAGAAGGTGATTAAGAGAAAAATGGCCTCAGACTCCGAGGGCCAAAAACCCAAAAAGAGAGCGGCTCATAAACCCAAGGAGAACGTAATCCTTTTGACCATGGAGTCGGTCCTAAGTCTAAGGGATGAAGAAGAAGAAAATGATTCTGGGATGTTGATCCGTGCCTGGGCTAGTACCGATACTCAGAATACTTTGGTATCGGTAGGAGTTGATAGTGCTCCGACCAGGCTTGATGAGGTTGAGGAGGGGACTTCGACCCAAGTTCCCGAGCCTAGGGAGACCGAGGATATTTTACCTTGGGGTAAAGAGTCTGTCGAAGAGGCGGTGAATGCCGGTGAATAAACTGAGCTTGGGGCTCCCGAAGATGGAGGCAATGCCCCAAAAGACCTACTCAGGGCGATAGAGATCGGGGGTTCCCCCTCTTTCCCTTCCTTTTCCCAATCGATGATACGTGACGCTCAAGCTGTGGAGATTTGTCATGGGGAAGGGGCCCATGGAGCGGAGGATCCTTTCCGTGGTTATTTTATCGGGGTAGAAGATGTCACCGGCCCGAGTGACTTGGAGGCTCCGAAGAAGAGCTCGAGCGAGGTGGGAGCGCCTTGCCTATTTAACGAAGCCCAACATTCCCTGAATCGGGTAAGTTCATACTTTCTTTGCCAATTTTCATACTTTTGTTTTCCTCTCCTTATATAATCCCTTCTTATTTTTGTTGGCTTCTATGCTTCATCACGAGGCATTTTTCCAATCCCGAGGGGAGCTGAGCTGGTACGAGGCCGATGTTCGAAAGCTTACTGAGGAGAGATATGCCTTAAAGCTTCTCAGTGAGCAGAGAGAAGGAGAAGTAAAAGAAGTTCGGGCCGAGCTGGAAGTATCTCGGAAAGAACAAGCTGAACAGGCCGAGCAGGTACAAAGAACCTTTGAATTTAATGATATTGACTTGGGATTGATGGCTAATAATTCGGTCCTGCAGGTCAAACAAAAGTTCAATGCGATTAGGAAGCTTCGTGTTGAAGTGGACGCAGTGAAATCAGAGGCCGAGGAGTGGAAGAAGAACATGGACTGCCTCGCCTCAAAAAAGGAGACTGCCCGAACTCAACTGGCTTCGGCCGAGGCCCAACTTCGAAGCTTAAAAGAGAAAGCCTTGGTGCAAGCCAAGAAAATCGAGGAGTTGCAGTCTCAGTTGAGCTCAACAAATTCTGATCAAGAGAGATTGGCCACAGAACTTGCAGCAGCCAAAATAGAGGTCGAGAAAATGATGGCCAATGCTAATGCAATGGTGGCCCTTTTGTCGATTTGATGCCGAAGCTGCTCAAGTTCGAGCAAAGGAGGTTGCTGAGGCTGCTCAAGCTCGGGAAAACTGGGTTAGCGAGCATGCTAAATGCCGGTCTCGAAGGGAGACTCTCGAAGAGATTCATGCTCGTGGCTTCGATCTAACAACCGAGATTGAAAATGCTAAGGAGCTTGAAGCCGAAGCTAGGGTGTTGGCCTTTCCCATTGATGATGATACCGGGAAGGCGAGAGGATCTGAAAGTGAAGGGGGCCTCGAGGGAGAAGATGCTGCTCCCGGAGAGCACTAAAATTCTTTTAATATTTTTTGTGCTTCTTATAAGACCGTTTTGGTTTTTTGTAAATAAATTTGATCGGGCCGCCTTGCCCTTGTAAATTATTTTGACATGAATATAAAAACTTTTCTTCCTTTCATATCTTCTTAATCTTTCGCCTTTTGTTAACTTGTACAAAGGTCAAAAGTGCCTTAGCATTGAATAATTATTCGGAGGTCCAAGATTGTGATAGTAAGGACCGATAGTGACTACTGCACTCGACCATTTCTTATAGGTAGTCCCCGAGTGAATGTTTGAACTTGAACTGAGGTGGCCCTTAGGCTTGATAGATAGATGTCAAATGAAATGATTCGCTCAAACTTGAAGTAGATAGCCTTTTTAATCTTGACACGTAGTCCCCGGTTCGGGATAATAGTTCGAAATTGAATCAATATGGCCCTTGGACTTTCTGATTGAGTGAGAATGATTTCTCGGGCTCGAAGTAAGTGTAGCCTTTAGGTTTAATGGTCAAGTGAGTGTTTGCTCGAACTGGAAATGAGAGTAGCCCTTAGGATTAATGATCGAGTGAGTATTTTCTCGAACTCGAAGAAAGGGTAGCCCTTAGGCTTAATCGTCGAGTGAGTGTTTACTCGAACTCGAATTAAGAGTAGCCCTTAGGCTTAATGGTCGAGTGAGTGTTTGCTCGAACTCAAAGAAAGAGTAGCCCTTAGACTTAATGGTTGAGTGAGTGTTTGCTCGAACTCAAAGAAAGCGCATCCCTTAGGCTTAATGGTCGAGTGAGTGTTTACTCGAACTCGAATAAATGTAGCCCTTAGGCTTTATGGTCGAGTGAGCGTTTGCTCAAACTCGAAGTAAGAGTAGCCCTTAGGCTTAATGGTCGAGTGAGTGTTTTCTCGAACTCGAATTAAGAGTAGCCCTTAGGATTAATGGTCGAGTGAGAGTTTGCTCGAACTCGAAGAAATAGTAGCCCTTAGGCTAAATGGTCGAGTGAGTGTTTGCTCGAACTCGAAGAAAGAGTAGCCCTTAGACTTAATGGTCGAGTGAGTGTTTGCTCAAACTCGAATTAATGTAGCCCTTAGGCTTTATCGTCGAGTGAGTGTTTGCTGGAACTCAAAGTAAGAGTATCCCTTAGGCTTAATGGTTGAGTGAGTGTTTACTCGAACTCGAATTAAGAGTAGCCCTTAAGCTTAAGGGTCGAGTGAGTGTTTGCTCGAACTCGAAGAAAGAGTAGCCCTTAGACTTAATGGTCGAGTGAGTGTTTGCTCAAACTCGAATTAATGTTGCCCTTAGGCTTTATGGTCGAGTGAGTGTTTGTTCGAACTCAATGTAAGAGTAGCCCTTAGGCTTAATGGTTGAGTGAGTCTTTGCTCGAACTCGAGTTAATGTAGCCCTTAGGCTTTATGGTCGAGTGAGTGTTTGCTCGAACTCAAATTAAGAGTAGCCCTTAGGATTAATGGTCGAGTGAGAGTTTGCTCGAACTCGAAGAAATAGTAGCCCTTAGGCTTAATGGTCGAGTGAGTGTTTTCTCGAACTCGAAGAAAGAGTAGACCTTAGACTTAATGGTCGAGTGAGTGTTTGCTCAAACTCGAATTAATGTAGCCCTTAGGTCTTTATAGTCGAGTGAGTGTTTGCTCGAACTCAAAGTAAGAGTAGCCCTTAGGCTTAATGGTTGAGTGAGTCTTTGCTCGAACTCGAGTTAATGTAGCCCTTAGACTTTATGATCGAGTGAGTTTTTGCTCGAACTCAAGTTAGTGTAGCCCTTAGGCTTTATGGTCGAGTGAGTGTTTGCTCGAACTTGAAGTAAGAGTAGCCCTTAGGCTATACTGAGCTCGATCTCGTTGATTTTCGGTTTGCAGTCCCCAATTTATGGGGTAATTATTCAAACTTCGATCATGGTCGGCCCTTAAGACTTTTAACATAATAGATCGGGAACATGAAGTAGAGGAATCTTTCTGAGATATGAGATATCGGTAAAAAAGAAATATCTCTTTATAAGTCATTATACATGTGTTCATGTTTTGTGCTAGGGCTCGAGCAAACTACGCGGGCATGGTTCGTTTGACCATTTGGCCCTTACACATTTTTCCTATTGAGACCATGTTGCCATGAAGTAATGTTCTTGCATCGAACTTGATATATTCGAGGGCAATGCCCCCATTATTCGAGGTTGATTGTAAAGAGGCCTCAAATACCGTTGAATTGTTCTAAGCTAGCACGATCAATGGTTGCCTCGTTAAAAACCTTGCCGAAAAACCCATTTGGGACAAAATTGGTCTAAGGGAAAAAGAGTACAATGCGTGCTTTCATACCTAAAGGCTTCAAGTTGAATAATCCATCCCTGTTTCTGTTTCTGGTCGAATACCTGCAAGGGTTAATTTCAAAATACAAATGAACATGGGAGGGTCGTAACTTAGCAGTAGTATCATTTTATGTGCGACACGTTCCAATTGCTCGGTAGTTATTTGCCGTTTATCATGCCGAGTTTGTAGGATCCTTTTCCGACGATTTCGAGAACCTGATATGGTCCTTCCCAGTTCGAACCCAGTTTCCCTTAATTCAGATTTCGGGTGTTGAGGGTGACTTTCCTTAGTACCAAGTCACCGATTTTAAAATGTCAAAGATTGGTTCTTCGATTGTAGTATCTTTCGATCCGCTGTTTTTGGGTGGCCAATCGAACGAGAGCGGCCTCTCGTCTTTCGTCCTATAATTCTAGGTTCGTGTTCATGGTCTTGTTATTCGACTCCTTTGTTGCATATCGAAACCTGATGCTAGGTTCTCCGACCTCAACCGGGATCAGAGCTTCAACGCCATAGACCAACGAGAATGGCGTTGCTCCGGTACTAGATTTCAATGTTGTGCGATATGCCCATAGGACCTCGGGTAGTTTTTCTCTCCATTTTTCTTTGGCGTCGGTCAATCTCTTCTTAAAATTTTGGATGATGGTTTTGTTGGTCGATTCGGCTTGTCCGTTTCCGCTGGGATGGTACGGTGTTGATAGGATACGTTTGATCTTATGATCCTTGAGAAATTTAGTTACTTTGCTGCCGATGAATTATTTTCCATTATCACATACAATCTCGGATGGCATCCCGAATTGACATATGATGTGGTCCCAAATGAAGTCTATTACCTCTTTTTCTCTGACTTTCTCAAAAGCCTATGCTTCAACCCATTTAGAAAAATAATCAGTCATAAACAAAATAAACTGAGCTTTACCCGGGGCCGATGGGAGGGGGCTGACGATGTCCATTCCCCATTTCATGAAAGGCCATGGATATAGGACCAAGTGGAGTAGCTCCCCGGGTTGATGAATCATAGGCGCATGTCTTTGGCATTTGTCGCATTTTCGAACAAACTCCCTAGCATCCTTGCCCATATCGGTCCAATAATACCCTGCTCTGATTGCTTTGTGGACCAGTGAATCGACACCGGAATGGTTTCCACAAGTTCCCTCGTGAATTTCCCGTGGGATGTAATCGGTATCTCCTGGTCCCAAACATATTGCCTATGGTCTATCGAACATTCTTCTAAATAGAGTTCCATCTTCGGACAGGGTGAACCGTGCTGCCTTTATGCGCAAAGCTCTCAATTTCTTTGGATCTGAAGGAAGCTTCCCGTTCTTGAATTACTCTATATATTTGTTTCTCCAATATCAGGTTAGACTTGTGGAGTTTATCTCGGTGTGACCTTCTTCGATCACTGATCTTATGAATTGTACGACAGTCCTCGAGTTGAGTTCGTCATCTTCGACCGATGAACCTAAGTTTGCAAGCTTGTCGGCCTCGCTGTTCTATTTTCGGGGTACATGTTGCAAAGTCCATTCTTTAAATTGATGTAGAGTCACCTGTAATTTATCCAAGTACCTCTACATTCGATTTTCTAGGACTTCAAAAGTCCCGTTAATTCGGTGTACCACGAGGAGGGAATCATACTTAGCCTCTACGACCTCCGCTCCCAAGCTTCTAGCTAGTTCGAAACCTGAAATCATGGCCTCATACTCGGCCTCATTGTTAGTCAATTTTGTAGTTCTGATAGACTGTCTATCTACATTACCTGTGGGTGATTTTAGTACAATGCCTAATCCAGACCCTTTCGCGTTTGAGGCACCGTCCGTGAAAAGGGTCCAGATTCCCGAAGAGGTACCCGATTTTATCAGTAGCTCTTTTTCAATCTCGGGTACAAGGGCCGGCGAAAAGTCATCCACAAAGTACGCCAAGATTTGAGATTTGATAGCGGTTCAGGGTCGATACTAAATATCGTACCCACCAATTGCTATGGCCCATTTGCCCAATCGACCCAAAATCTCGGGTTTGTACAAAATGTTTCGAAGGGGATAAGTTGTTACAACATGTATCAGATGTGATTGGAAATATCGTTTTAATTTCCTAGATGCGCTTATTAAAGCAAGCGCTAATTTTTCTAAGTGTGGATATCTAGTTTCGGCCTCGCCTAAGGTCCGACTGACATAATAAATAGGGAATTGTGTACCTCGTTCTTCTCGAACCAGGACTCCACTTACCGCTATCTCAGAGACAGCTAAGTACAAGTAAAGTTGTTCGTCCACTTTTGAGGTATGAAGCAGAGGCGGGCTCGATAAATACCGCTTTAGTTCTTCCAAAGCTTGCTGGAATTCCGGAGTCCATGCAAAGTTGCTTTTCTTCTTAAGCAGTGAGAAAAATTGGTGGCTCCTATATGAGGATCTTGAAATGAATCGTCCCAGGGAGGCTATCATTTTTGTTAACCTTTGCACAACCTTCACATTATCTACTACCGTGATGTCCTCGCTAGCTTTGATTTTATCGGGGTTGATCTCGATTCCTCGGTTGGACACCATGAAACCAAGAAACTTTCACGAGACAACCCCGAATGCACATTTTTTGGGTTTGAGCTTCATATTATACTTCTTTAGTACGTTGAAAGCTTCCTGCAAATGCTTTAAATGGTCCTCTGCTCGCGGGGACTTAACTAACATGTCATCAATATAAACTTCCATTGATTTTCCTATTTGTTTTTTG